ACAGCAGTGTGCCCTTGTGGCCAGGAGGGCCAATGGTATCCTGGGCTGCATTAAGAGAAGTGTGTCCAGCAGAACAAGGGAGGTCCTCCTCCCCATCTACTCTGCCCTGGAGAGACCCCACCTGGAGTATTGTGTCCATTTCTAGGCTCCCTATTTCCAGAGGGACAGAGATCTACTCGAGAGAGTCCAGCGAAGGGCTATGAGGATGACTGGGGGACTGGAATGCCTGCCTTATGAGGAGAGGCTGAGGGACCTGGGGCTTTTTAGTCCAGAGAAGAGATGAGTTAGGGGGCATCTAATTAATGTGTATAAATAGATGAGGACTGGGTGTGAATAAGAAAGAGGCAACCCCTTTTTAATTGTAACCTGTGATAGGACAAGGGGCAATGGATACAAGCTGGAGCACAGGAAGTTCCACCTCAACATGAGGAAGAACTTCTTTCCTGTAAGGGTTCCAGAGCAATGGAACAGGCTCCCCAGGGAGGTTGTGGAGTCTCCCACCCGGCAGACTTTTCAGACCCGTCTGGATGCTTTCCTGTGTGACCTGCCCTAGACTAGATGGTCCTGCTCTGGCAGGGGGGTTGGACTCAATGGTCTCCAGAGGTCCCTTCCAACCCCTAACATTCTGTGATTCTGTGAAGCTATCTTGCTAGGAGAGAACAATTGTCTAATTAAAGATAAATGAGAAGCAACAGTGTTTACCCTGATAGTTGCTTTCAGTGTGAGTATTTATAGCTGTGAGCAGCACCAAATTTAACTCAGGTAAGCCTTGGGCATTTTCTAAAACATCAACTGCTAAAACCAAAGTTTGCTGTTTGCAGGGAGAGGAGGAATGCAGCTTTTTGCAAGCTGTGACTTGTCATGGTCTTTGCATCAGCTTTCAAACCATGCAGCTTAGGAGGCTAGAGGAACACCTTGGTTTTTTGCGCAGCTTCCTAGAAGTGAGATGGGCTGAAACCAAGACCCCCCCTTTTTGTTCTCTTACCAGTTCCTGATGATTTTCTATCACCAAGAGGGAAGCATTGTGCAATGAGCAGAGGCTCTGACTAGAGTTCCAGCTGGCTTCTTTCTCTGAGAGGTAGTAGCATTTCCTCTGGAAATACAGCCAACCTGATGGGCAAAGTTCCAAGGAAGGGCAGACAGGAAAATCTTTGGCTGAAGAACGGTTTACTGCAAAAAGGCAAAAAAGAACCTACATGTTTCTTCCAACTGGAAAAGGCTTCTGGAGCTTTTTAGCTTGCTTTCTGTTTCACCTAAAATCATCGAAGTCTAAGCACAACATTACCACTTCTGCCCAGCTGAAATAATTACTGTAGACTAGTTACACACTCTGGCTTCAGCATCCTTATGGTTGCTGACATACCTTTAAAGTGATGATCAGGGGCAGGTTGGTAGAAGCAGCTGAGAAGGTGAAAACATCCTCCAAGGACTGTCCTACAACTTAAATATTTCTGAACAACTGTAGTTTTTGCAAGTGTTGCTTCCTTGCAGCTGAATTAAAAGCTTTCTTTATTATAATGTCATTTTTCCAAGGACTACAGATTGGTTGCAAAGAACAATCTTCCACTCACTGTTTTCTTGAATTTGGATTAAGACCAACAGTGACGTTGTAAACTTCAATGCCAGACTAACACTAAGACTGAACTGAGGACTTCCTAATACCACTGCAACTAGCAGAGTAATTTCTCCAGCACTGGATGATTACTTTAAACAATATGTCATGGCATCTATGTAACTTGAAAATAAGGTAAGTTCTGAATAAACCCTTTGAAGTTTTGAGGGATTTCTGACAGCTTATACCTCTATTAATTTCTAAGGCAAAATATATTTTAAAATGATTGACATACTTACCAAACTGAATACAGAAAATCAAAATAACAGCAGCAGTAAGGACTCCAGCAACACCTCGCCATAACCAGATATTTGAGAACAGACCTGAAAAAAGAAGTGTCAGGAATTAAAACCAAACCAAACAAAAACCACAACCAGCTGGCAGGGGAGTAGTGCCCAGGGCCCATGAAACCATTCCAAAAGAAGTTGCTCTCGGTGGAGAGCGGGCTGGGAGCAGAGCTGGACTAGGAAGTGTGTGACATTTAGGCTGTCACCACAAAGCTACTTAGCTAACAAGAACTCTGAATTACTCTGACTTTTAATTACATAATCCAAAAATTTCACCTTATAGTGAGGTACTTCCCAACGCTCCAAAGTGCTTAAAAGAAAAAAAAAGAAGTGAGCATAGAACAAATGAGGATGAAGACAGTAAGTCTGCAGTTGACCTGATGCCTAAACACGTAATGGATAAGAGAAATAAGACAACTCATCAGCTCTGGAGCCTCAGCTCTGAGGAACATCTGCTCTTATCCCATAGCAACAGTGTTTCAGACCCTCTTCTCCCTTCCAGGAGCCAGCAGTGAGCCGGGTTTTGAGGCAGGAAGGACCCACGAACTTGCCACAGTGTCTTGTGTCCAACTCTGCAGGCCGTGTCAAGGGACGAGGTGCCCCCGAACTCCTGCAGGGAAGGGGGGTCCCTTCTCACCGGTGGTCACTGCGTTGCCAGCACAGGGGTCTGCCCGGGCTGCCTCCCATCTCTGTGAAGGGACACGGCCCCCCGGCGGGCTGAGGTAGTCCCCACGCACAAGGTGAGCCCCCCGGGACGCTGGCACTGGGCCGGTTGGCGGCCCGCACCTCCGGCCATTTCTCGGGTG